GCATATATCCCAGTGATATAAATGTGAAAGAAATGTGAAAAAAAGAAGATTCAGTTTTCACTGAAATGAATTATTATTGCAGATATGTGCCCAGATGAAGGGCAACAAGGCTCATGAAGGGTCTAGAAAACATGTTTTATGAGGAACAACTGAGGGAGCTGGGGTTGTTTAGTCTCAAGAGAAGGCTCTGGGTGATCTTATTGCTCTCTACAGCTGCATGAAAGGAGGTTGTAGAGAGGTGGGGAGTGGTCTCTTCTGCCATGGCTACAGTGAAAGGACTAGAGTAAATGGCCTCAAGCTGACCCAGGGGAGATTTGGATTAGATATTAGAAAAATATTTTCACTATTAGAGTGGTCAGGCACTAGAATAGGTTGCCCAGGGAGGTGGTGGAATTGCCATTCCTGGAGGTGTTCAAAAGGTGTGTGGATCTGGTGCAGGGTGATATGGTTTAGTGGTTTAGGGCTTGCAGTGGTAGTATTATGTGGATGGTTGAACTGCATAATCTTGAAGGTCTCTTTCACCCTTGATGATGCTGTGATTCTATGATTCTAATGAAAATCCACACAGATAGTGATATCACACAGCCTTTCACTACAGATCCAGTGCTCTACCAAGTGGGCCTCTCCTGATTTGTAACTGCATTTTAGCAGCACTCTCAAATTGTAGACATGTTAAAAGCAATCAGAACAAATAATTCTAAATTGCCCAATGAGCATTATAATAATGAGCTGCTGCTCATCACCTTTCGAAGGCAATGTTTTCAGAGGCCATCTACAAGATTCTGTGAAACCCTTGGGTGTCTCATTTTTAACAGCCAGCAGCCTAAACCTCCAAATCCTCTCGAGGATGTCTTTCTTGAACTTGGAGAGACATAAATACAGCTGTGTACTTGCCTTACTTGAACTGCTGCATTGATATACTGTAGTCTACAGATTCTGACAATTTTTTTACCCTTTCCCTCAGTTCCTACTAGTGTTGAGCATTAGACACTTTGACTCGACAAGGGACACTGTCTATGGTTTTAATGTCCCAATGCACAACTATGGCTTCAAATCATACCAACTACTAGAAAGTACCTAACCAAGGAGCATTTCATTAGACCAGGCTGTGCAGCTGAATCATTATCACCACCTAGACTCTAGAAGGAATGAAGGCAGCTTCCCCTCCTGCCTCCAGCACCTCAGGGAGGAGGAATTTGGATCACAAAACTCAGAAGACCATTTGATCTATGTGACATGCCTTCCAAACACAACCTTTTGCATAACCATGGTATTTAACTACCAGCACACATGCTCATCCCTGCAGACACTGAGAAAGTTCCTACATGACCTGTGTATTTTCTTTTTCTCCTAGAGAGAAGCAGACAGCCTGGGGCTGAAATATTGAGACTCTTTACTCTTAATAGCTGTTAGTGGAATTTTTAAGTACTCAAGATGGCCAGAACACTCATTCATTACCTGACATGAGAGATCACATCCTTCAACAACAGTCTTTCTTGCTGATTGCTTTCTGCTATGTTTGTAAAATTAGAGTAGGGTAATGGAGTTTGGAGCTTTAAAGCAAGACTACCATGACTCTCTTCATTTTAGGCAAAAGAAGAGTACAAGTCCCATAGTCCTTTTCATAGAGTTAAATAGGCTGTGGACAGTGATGACTATACAGAAGAAGGAAACAGGAAACTTTGGAGAGGACAAGACATAGGCTACAAGTAAAATCTTGGAGTATGCAGTACAGCCACTGATGGTCCACTCTGAACTTGTCTTCTGTGTATGCCATATCATACCTAGGCTGAACCTGACTTTTGAGACCATCATTTGTTTGTGAAAACAGCCAACAAAAGTGCACGTCACTTCTCTATGAATTACAAAGACATGAGATCGTGAAGCTCTGGTTTGTCCTATCCACTCACAGCAGTTCTGATGTATCTCTAAGACAAAGCTCAAGGCCAAAACATTTTCTATGCCTGCAAAGAGGGACATAAATTTGCATTTCACTGTAAAATTCAGAACATACACATCACGAAGAAAATAACTGACTATATGACAGGGATTATGAGTTTAATAATATTTGCTCTTCCCCTGGATATGACATATATATAAGGCAGTACTGCATTCTCAAGGGAAGACCAAGAGGGAAATAAAGATGATTTATTTGTGTATTATAATCCCAATGCTCAGCAATGAGTTTTTAAAAGGCAACAGACCCTGGGAAAGGAGTTCAGCATACAATTTATCTGACCTAGTACAGTCTTCTAATTCATTCCTGAAATCTTGGCATATATGATTCTTGTTCATCAGAAACACCATAAATGAAATATTTCAGCATGTTTTTTTGCTGTCATATTTTCTGTGCTCTAGGGGGAGATCATAAATGCTAGACTTTATTTATTTCTCAGGATCAGAAAGGAATAGATATCCTAGTATTGGATACAATATTTGAAGCCATGAGATTAAGGAAATTGAGGGCTTTTTGCAACAGCATGACAAATTCTGTATTTAAACAGATCACTCCCATCACACAGAATAACATGCCTTTTGTTCAGAGATTTACCATGTTTAATTAGTCATCTTTTTCAGTAGCTTAACCATGTATTCAGTTAAAGAAAGTAATAAACAAGTGTTCAAAGTGAGGCAATACTGTCTTTATGTTATTTTTTCAATTGTGATCAGGTATCTGTGGGACATGGAAAACTAAAAAACAAACAAAGTACATAATCTTTGCTTCTCTAACAAAATTTAGTGCCAAATTCTGCTCTCAGGTAAATGTCTATAAAGCATTGTCCATGGGTTTTAGAAGTGCCAAAGATCAGTAGCTGTTCTCATGTCTTAAAGGCTCAGAACACACCAAATGGAGAGCTGGTGTCTACCTCTAACACATATTGTCCTGCTGACCTACTGCAAGCAGTCACAGCATCACTCCTCTCCAACAAACTGATTTCATTTCCCCAGATGATAATTTGGCTAATTTATTTTTTTTTAACTTCAATTTGCCTGCTTCAACAAATGAGAGCACAATTTGGCTCCTTTCTCAGGGAAAAGGAAGCCAACCAAACATGACTTTCACCAGGCCTCAGGTTTTGGCCCCAGATTTCAACATACACTATTACAGCAATCAAAAGAACCATAGAAATTACTTATCATTTTACTGTTCCTTAACACATTTCACACAGTCCTGCAGCGAGCAGAATCACAGATGGACTTCAGAACATACAGAGAGCACAACTACTACACTGGACATGAAAAGGAAATTTTATTAAACATGTTTACATAACATGAGTTGGAAGTTCATTTAAAAGCACAGGGGAGTGTTAAGACAAGTGGTCAAAATAGAAAGATACTATCGAATTATAACTAGTTGGTTTTTGGCCACTAAGACAGAACAGGATCTAGTAGTAGTGCACCAATGCTTGAGTTCTTCCTGCTCAGCAGGTCGAGCAGTAACCAATCTGCGCCCTATGGAAAGATGGGCAGAATAATTCCCATGTGTTGAGTAATAATAAATAGTTCACTTGGTGCAGGCAGTATGTCTATGAATTAAAACCTAGTGTGTACACAGTTTCTACATGTGTTACAGCCCCACAGTAGGAATCTACACCAAAATAGTTATTAGAAGGAATTTGGTCCGTACTACATCACGTTTTCCATAGGGTAAAAAATAAAGTCCATCTATAGACATTTAGCACCAGACCCACAGACCTAGCCTGGCTAAAACCTGCAAAATGTCTATAAGAAAAATGGATGGCTTAGATTTCTTGGTTACTTCAGTATAGTAATTACGAGCAAACTGTACAAGTACATGCAACATACAAGCTGGCCTATGTGGAACTAACATACATTATTAAATAACCTTTTTCATCTCTTTTTACAAAACGTGCATGCAGCTTTGAACAGTTCCAAGTCATGCTGCTCTATTTGTGTGATCACAAAATTGAATGGCCTGTAAAAGGAGGGGAAACATATCAATGCACCTGCAGGAATCTGCAGTTCTTCGCACATTTACAGAATATCACAAGGGATTTCAAGGCCAAGAAGAACTCAAATGAATAAAAAGCAAATTGAAATTTGACTTTTTTGTTTTTTTCTCCAAAAAGTAAGATATCTTGCGTTAAAAAATCAAGCCTTGTGCTTGCATCTATCTCAAAGAAATGTAAACTAAAATTTGATAAAAATATTAGTAAGTGCAGAATATTTCAACTGGAATTTCCAGTGAAACATTGAACAACTCATACCATGCTCTATCCAGGGCAGACAAGTGTGTCTGAAGCGACACACATCAGAGAAACCTGGGTACAGCTGAAAGTGTCATATGCTCATTTCATTCCTGGTCAACATTTTGGGAAGTCAAATATACATTTATACACAGAAACATAAGTATTTCCTCTCCATTTCTAGGAGGAAAATTGCATTACCAGTAACATATTCAATGTCAAAATTAAGACTAAAGCTGCTTTATACCAGTCCCCAGCAGTAGTTGCAGAATTCTTCAAAATTCTTCCATGCAAAACATCATAAACATAAAAGTTATTATATATATATAATGCAAACATATCTGCTTTTTACAAAGAAAAAGTGGCACTGTGATGATTATTTTTAAGAATATAACTGAGATTGGTCATTTGTTCTGGGTTCCCACGTGAGAGACTTATAAGTACCAGAACTGAGAAACAATTTGAACTCACTGGAATTGTAACTGTGGCTGTTGAACACTTTAACGATGCTTACAGAGATATACTTCAGCCCTTTTTTGTTTGGTTTAGAAAAAGAAAGGAAGGGTCTCTGTTAGCATTGTGAGGACTTCTACAAAACTAGCAGAATCACGTGGCAAAAAACTAGTGGAAGTGACAAGTACAGAAAAACTGCTGAAACACCAGGAAGATAACACTGCTTGAGGACTCTGTCAAAATGTGAAAAATACAACATTGTTAACAGAGTGAGAGCTTCCAGTCTGGGTCATCTTTGACTAAGGTCGAATCTAAAGGTCCCTCTCTTTCTTCTTTTCTTTTTTTTTTTCCGTTTTTTTTTTTTTTTGATCATTATAAGCATCGGTGATAGCCGCTAATAGATTAGCTGTATGTGATACACCTTTGTTCTGTCAATTTAAGCCATCTCTCAACAGACAGACATGTGTTTGGATAACTACTACAAGCAAAAACAGAAGTGATTGTCTCTCTCCAACAGTGTTTTTTGATCATGTGATCATCTGGTTCCAATTGTTATCCTGGGTGATGTTTTTATTAGACAGCACCTGCTACTACGACCTAATGCAGGGAGGCCCAGTTGAACTTTCCAGAGATGACTGGGAAGCCCTGCGTGTCAAGGGAGTCAACGTTGGATCCACTAGCGATGAAGGTGGAAATAATTTATACCAGCCTATTACCACACTGGACAGATCCAATTCCTCCAGAAGGATCTGGGCAACTCCCATGAAGCATTTGTGGTCCATTCGGCCATAGTCTCCCCAAACTATTACCTGGAAGAACAGAAAATTAAGGTTCAGCATGGTCCCCAAATCTGTCTTTATACAGGGTTATATACTTATACCCATACTTATATATGTTCACTCCTGCTGTTACGTATAGCATGAGGAAAATGTTATTCTCAAAGGTGAATGATTGCTTCCCTCTGTGGGAAAACCTAGTGTCAGGACAGGAACGAGGGTCAACAAAAGAGAAATGTTTAATACAGTCAGACATTTTGCAAGTCTGAAACCACAAGCACCAAGGATGTTTTCGCTGGAATTAATAAAATTAAATGATTAGTGAGCTGGAATGGGTTTATGCGTATTGGTTAAATTTAAAAAACATGCAAGTGCTTCCCCAAATGACAGCCTGAAAAGGCAACTGACCTGAAGGACTTTACCCTGTGGACTTTCATCAAAAACTAGTGTCTGTTGGTACAAAGGATCAAGGGTCTTCCTTGCAATTCTTGTCTTCTTCTTAGCTATACATGTTCCATTTTCCAGTAAATACACTTTGACATATGGAGCTGCAAACAGAACATCATGAATGTTATGTTTGGACTTAGACTGCACATCTGAGTTGGAGGACAAATGCCTTAAAAGGAAACTGAATGGAAAGAAAACGACACGTTATCTTCACTGTATCTTGGTGATTATATAATCTGAATCCAATTATATTCATAAAATAAATGACATGGCCCATAAGAAATGAATTTGATTTTTATAAACTTTGAATGCAATGATCTAAGATGTTACTAAGATCAATTACGTTTCATGTCTGTCATTTTAAAAACACTTTCCTTTTCCAGGAATTAAACTGTCACTGACAGCCATTCTGGAATCTCTATGTAAGCTTAGGGGTCAGAGATCATTCAAAACAAAAGGAATATTTAAAATGACACCCCTACAATAACAAAGACATTAATTTCCATCTAAATGTTATCTGAAACAACTGTGCCAGTTGTTACAGTAAGCAGTGGTTGTGGTGTTGATTCTAAATCTCCTCTAATAAAGATTTCTATAAATAACTAGAACTTCAACAAATGTCTTTATAAAATGCTACAATATTAAATCTTGTTCATTATACAAATTATTGACACTAACACTAGCACAAGCTGCTGTCATCTTGAAATACTGTTGCATACAGAAGACCCTGGTACTGGGTTTGTTGAGCTGTTTGTTTAAAGCACTTCCATCTGTTCTCCATCTCTTTTGATGGTGAACAAACACAAAGGACCTCATCTATATTGAGAAAGCCCCTCTGAGATATATGACTTGCTTAAGATACACAGAAATATTTCTGCAAATGTTCCTTCCAGAATTGATGTTGAGTTGCTCAAAATCATTCCTTGAAAGATGGCATGCAACTGGCAGATGCAAGGTGGTAAGAAGTGGACATTGGTGGCAAGGATTTATACACACACGCGTTCCTTGTTGAAATGCAAACCAAACAAATGCAAATGCAGTGACAGCTGGTGAGGAGCTCAAAAAGTCTCCAATCTCCAGTTCATCAGTATATTTCATATTCTTGTTTTCTGTTCATATGTTATCTAGTTTTTTCCTTACCTGGGGTAGATTTGGAGCCAGGTTTTTGGATGAGGCCACGGGCTCTAATGACTTCTACTTCTAACTGGCCTTTTTTATCCACCATTCCAATCTGGATGTCACCTGAGAGGAGAAGAAAGAAACCCACATTTTAGAGAAGCAATACAGCCCCTGGGAGATAGGGTATAAGAGTGAGAAACAGAAAGACTAGTTTGATATTATTCCTCTGCATTAATACGCTTGTCAGCTCTCCTCCTGAACCCTTTATATCTCCATCCTTAAAGAACTAAATGATATTTATCTGGGGGGCACAATGCCCTCTCTTGGTGTACAGTTTATACCAGCTCAAAATAGGTCTTTTTTTCTTCAAAAGTCTCCAACAAGCACAGGGGTGACAATTTTCCTGGTTTTATCAATATTCTGCACCCATTTTTGGTGTGAATAAAATGTCACAACATGTTAAAATAAGAAACTGCTTTTACTTCTATGTAGTCAAACACATTTTCCTGCCTGAGTTTTGAGAAATGACATTTCCTACAGGAAACAGAAACTGCTTAGTCTGAGACCAATCTAGATCAATAAAATGCAAGGGAAGTCAACTAGGGGCTGAGGCTCAAAGTGTTATATCTCTGCGGTTTCATATAGCATAGAATCAGCTGGGTAGAAATCTAACATGCCCCTTAGAATAAAAAGTGCACAGTATGACATGAGCAGCTGCATGGCACTTGGGCAAATAAATGAACTACATCCATGCAACACATGAGTATGCATATATTTGACATGTGAACTATGATTGTCTAAAAAACCTACTCACAAATAGCCCTGAACTGTCGAGTCTGGATTTAGAGAGACAGTATTTTGAAATTAACTGGGCATGAGATTTTCACCTTTGTCTAACAGCATCTAAAAGCAGTGTTTATACCTTGGCACTTGAGATATGATAGAGCAGCAGGGAAGATTTTTTTATCAATCAAAATTTGCTTGAATAAACGTAGCTCTGTGCTGCACTAAAAATAGTTCAGAAGAAAATTCCAACAAGCCTTTGAGCACATCTCCGTATCGCACATCCGAAATAAAACATGCCACGGGGAACCAGAAGGGGGAGCGATAATACAAACATTTTTCAAATCGTCAATAGTGAAAGGATACAGCCTAGAAAGTCTTCTCACTGAGAATTGCCATAAAGCACAATGGAGAGCTTTTTGGGGGGCCAATACTTGAGCCCTTAGTAAATAAAGCAGTTCTAAGAAATTGAAGGAAATTTATTACTCAAATTATCTGCAGAAAAAACCTGTAGTTGGAAAACAAGATTAAAATAAAGAGACAGAAGAAATCTAGTCCCTTATATGCATACCAATAAAGCCACTTAGATATTTATTGGGCAAATAATATTAAAAAAAATATTTTCTTTCAAAATAATAATAAAAAATAATAAGGTGAGTGACTACTAATGCTTTAGTAGCAGTCATTTGGATTTATAAAGCAACTCTTGCCTTAGGGGGTACTCAGAACATTCTCAAGAAACTTTTCCTTCTGCTCATGAGGAAGGGAACACTCTCTGCAATTTTTCTTTGTTTCTCTCTGCTTTTTTCAGATGCATCTCAGTAGCCCTTCCTAAAGCTGATTTTCCCAAGATAGTCATAGTGAAGCATTGGCCATTTATAATTTCCAGTAGAAGTATCGTTACAGTAGTGGATCTAGGACTTCTCATTTAGCATCCTAAAGCATGTGTAAGAATTGCTCATATACAAGCAAAAAAGCTGAAATAAAAAAAACCCAAACCTTTCCACAGCCCTGCACTGTGGCACTCCTTATACAACTCATACTCTTGCTCATAGCCAACATACAGCTAATGCTACTACAGGGAATTGCAGACTGGCTGGGAATACAGAGAAGATCACAGATAGCCACAGGCAGCTGTTGGACAAAAGGGCTTTGTGCCTCTCATGAGAAACACTGGCTTTATCAGTGATGGAATATTGGGCATTGCAAATGTGGGCAGAAGTTTCACAGTTTGGGGTTAGATGAACTAAGCTTAGAAAAGTGCAGTGTGGCCAGAAACTCTCTGTGACATTCAGTATAACCTGTGGCATGTAAATATACACTCTGAACAGCTGAGATTTTGCAGAGAGCTACAACTGGAGAAGCCAGTTTTGAGTGGGAAGTAAAACCCCTATCTTCAAATGGCAAATAAGATTAGCCAACACTTCAAATGGAGCAAACACTGTTTCTCACTCCACATTGGATGCTAGGAACACCAGTGACTGCATATAGGACTTTGATGTTCATAGCGAAGGAAGACACTTTGTAAAAGTCTTTTTGGTGCTTCAGTCTGGTAGCATGTGCATTAAATTGTCTTGTTATTCATTTAACAGAGGAGAACATACTATTCTTACCCATGGCAGGGGTTGCTAGTGTTTGTCGCCCTACTAACTGTGCAGGTCCAAGTCCATCGAGGAAATCGCTAAACTGGCTGTCAGCGCCCAGCCGTACTCCAGGAAATATTAAGCTGAAACAAAATAAAAGCTTTTTAAGCATAGAACAGGATTAATTTCTATTGTCCTACAGTATTTGCCTCAAAGGTACTACTGATACAAGGCAAGCAGGTCTGGATGTGCAACCGCAAATCATTCCGCAGCATCAGGAATGAACTGTCTCCTGTGGACCCCAAAGTAGTGCAGTGAAATTCTGCACATGGACCCAAAGTAGTCCATAAAACAGGTCTGGCTAAGGGTTCTGCAGGAGTAGTGAAGAGTCTGAGGACCCAAAGTAGTCCATAAAACAGGTCTTGCTAAGGGTTCTGCAGGAGCAGTGAAGAGTCTGACAGGTGAATAAACTATTAGTGACCTTGTATGAGAAAACATAAAGAGCTACATGACATTTAATACCCTTCCTTCATTATTGAATGCTTAATTTACATACATTCAAACCCAATCTGCATCAGTTAGAATAAGCAGGGAAAACAGATGTTTACACTAAATTAATCTGATTGCTGCAGCTGTTGAATGAAGCAGTGAAGTAGCAGGTAATACTAGTGGTGATTAAAGCTAAACCCAATGCCACTCCCTAGCCAGAATATTCTGGTAGGCAAATATGGATCTGCAGTTATTAAGTGGTGATTAAAGCTAAACCCAATGCCGCTCCCTAGCCAAAATATTCTGGTAGACAAATATGGATCTGCAGTTATTCATAATGCAGCCTGTTTTCCTTACATGGCTTACAGTTCTTAACATTATCATATAATAGTTTGGGTTGGAAGGGACCTCAAAAATCTTCTCGTTTTGATGCCCTTGCCATGCACAAGGACATCTTTCACTAGATCAGGTCACTCAAAGCCCCATCCAACCTGGCTGTGAACACTTCCAATGATGATACAAATCCACAACTCCTCTGGGCAACCTGTTCTAGTATCACAAAACAATTAGGGTGGTGAGATCATCTGATGATGGAGAAACTGCACCTTTACATAGATCCTTGCCACCACCACAGCAGACCTGGCTCTTTGTGCCTCATTACAATGTTCAGTAGCAATTGTGGTAACATGGTAAGCATATAAAAAGATGAAGCCAAATAAGTCTAAATCTCTGATTTTTTTTCCAGGTCTATAGGGTGCATTTGCCTACCCTTGTTTCTGCCTTTTCTGGGGAGTTGTCCTCTAAGAATTGCCTAGTGACCACTGTGCCTTGGCACAAGTGGTAGAGTCCCACTGAGAGCTGTGAGGAGGCTGAAGTAGTCAAGCACACTTTTGTGGCAGAACTGCCTTTGTTCTCCTTTCCTACATATCAAGTCATTCAGCAGTGAATAAAAACAGCTTCCCCATCCCCCACAGCTGTCTGCCTACCTTCAGCTGGTGGGTCAGATGGTCTCTGGGTTTACAATGCTCAATTAGAGACTTGGACCAACTCCAAACTAAACTTTCTTTGTATATAGTGTGACTGAACAAAGTTTCATATCATAGGGATTCACATACAACACCTTAAATTTAACTCTGAGTTAATCCAAACATAAATCAAAGGAAAAAGTACCCCTATGTTTTGTTTTGAATAATACAGTCTGAGTTTAGTTGTCTTTTGGTGAACAAAATGCTTCACTGGATGACAGAGAAAATGAGAATCCTTAAGAAGTCCTCTCTCAATTTCAATTTTCAAGCAATTTGTATTATGTGCCTAAAATAGTTCAGTTTTTGAAATGTTTTAAGAGGAAGAATCTTTACACAGACCTATCCCCTTTAGCTAGAGCTTAGGGCACCCCATGTTTTCTTGAAAAGACAAGAAACTTCTCCTACATTACAGACATTTTTAAAGCCACTTACTTGCCCTCGGAGCTATAACTATTTATGCTGCCATCAGTGGATTCCCGACTTGGCTGTCGAACCATACGACTTCTCATCTCTGCTGCCATTCCTGTTTCTGTGCTTCTCTGTATCGTGCTCTTGAGCTTCTTACTGCCAGCCTCTGAAAGCAGAGAAAAAGAAGGGATAATTAGAATGACACTTAGAGCAAAGCCTTTCCTTGCAGTTCCCCCCAACAACAGTGATCTGACGTGATCATTACTATTTAACTACATAAAAAGAGTATTCTGATTGAAGAAGGAACTCTCTTCCTCAGTTGCAAACTGGAAATGACTTCTCTTCAAAGGGGCTGCAACCTGAAGATCTTCATTAGGGAAAACTGTTAGAAACTAGGTGTCTTGTTAATAACCATGACACAGCTGGAATGTAGACAGGTTGTGATAGTGTCTGCTAACCACATACTCAGTAAGGTGCCTATAGCTACCTTGTTAGTTAGGTTGTGTGACTGTAAAAGAAGTTACAACTCCCACAGAAATAAAAAAAGAAAAGGAAAAAATAATTCATGCATTCCACAGAAAAAATGTTAAGTATTATTAAACTTAGGATCAAAAATGTAATAATGAGTTTTGACTCAGCAAAATCTTGCTTTTCACACACAAGGTCTTCAAAGCAATCGGTGCACTTTACAGAACTTACAATCCCAGCACTTCCTAAGCAGAAATATCTCCTGGAGAATTTGAGATCACAGAATAGTTAGAGCTGGACAGGACCACAATGGGTCATCTTGTCCAACCTCCCTGCTCAAAGAGGGTTTTTCCTAGAGCAGATGGCACAGGATTGCATCCAGAGGGTTCTTGAATACCTCCAGTGAGGGAGACTCCACAGCCTCTCTGGGCAATCACAATCTACACTTGCAACTGAACACTAGAAAGTAATCTACATCTTATGAAATTGTTTAAAGACTTCATCCTTTGGAAAAGCTTCCACCAGACATTCTTAAAAATGCAACTTGATTTCCACCTGGAAGGTTTCATGTTTCCCTTGAGCAAGGAGAGCTTCCAGTCCTTTACAGGTCCTTTATAGGTTATGGCTGATCTACAATGAATCCTGCTGCCACATAGCAGAAATTGTACTTCCAGATGATAATAGGTTGTTCTCAGCAATCTTTGACTAAATTACTTCCATCAGAGTTTCCATGTTATGTAAAAACATGTGTTGACTTCAAACTCAGTGTTCCGTTCTTTTTCATTTAGTTCAAAATGGGTACCCAAAATTAAATGGGTAACATTTCTTTCTCTCAGAAAGCAATAGATTTGACAAAGCTTCATGTAAGTACATGCAAAAACATTCTTCTGCGTTTGCCTCTTCATTTCAGTGCTTCTTCAATCACCTTCTGCAAAGTCTGTGCTTCCTTTTCAGGATCTGCTCAGGGGAACACCTGAAAAAGCAAAAGTTTCTTCCACCTCCACCTGCTGTGGAGACTGAATTGCTCTGAAAAATTGTACATCTTCCTGTTTCACAGGGGTGTTTGAAACTGAACAGATCTTGACCTTTCATCACATAAAACCTAGGGCCTTGGTAGCCCCTGCACAGCCTGCCCATTGCTGAGGGTGTTTAATGCTGTGGAGACTCTTGCTCTTTGGTGTCTGTAATGCTGGTGGAGGGTGAGAAGAAATCACACTGAGCAGCTATCAGAGGAACCACTTTGGAGGCACCAGAGAAACACCAAACATGGGCAAAGCGAAAAAGAAAGAATTTGTATGCTGGGTTTAGAGGAGACACGACCACAGTGAAAGGACTGTGGTTTCCCTCTTCAGCTCTCTGGACTGGGGTTCATCTACAGCCACCCAGAAACAGAGAAACAAATCCCTTTGCATGGAAGAGATCAAATACTTCCACAGAGACTCTATTCCCTTCTGAGGCCAACAGCTCAAGTTTTCCTTTGGGTCACTGCAACTCATCCAAATTCCTGGTCCTTGGTCAGCTGAAAACACATGATCAGTGCTGCTAAATGTGAGGTAGAGTAGGGTAGGCAAGGTCTGAAAGGAAGACCAGGCTCCACTCTTACACAGTGCAGGTGTCTGTGGAAGGAATTTGCTGGAGCTTCAGTGACTCCATGTGTAAAAAACCAAATGCTACATTTTGTCCTTTTCTCTTTAAAAACAGATGGTGTGTTCCAGCAAATCAATGCTGTAAGGTAAGCTGAGCATCAACAATTAACCAAAAGGGAACCTAGGGAGTATAACCCCCACACACAGCCATACTCCAAAGCAGGATTTTCACATTTTCAGTAGGTAAGCATTAGCCACTCTCTTTCTCTGTCTTGCTGGGACCTCTCTGAAAGTGTCTCTGTCTGCTCCTACAAAATGTGTGAGATTACGTGGTTTACATCCACCTTCTTTTTTTCTGGAGCCAGACAGATCAGGCAGCACGACCTGAAGGATATAACATGGTGCAGTCTGAAATGTGTTCAGTTGAATAGTGAGTATTAAGCACACAGGAAAGGGAAATAAATGATGAGACACTAAAGGTAGCTACAAGATCATCATGACCATAGCACAAATTGGGAAAGAGATGTTCTGGACCATCTGGACAATGTGGTGGGTGCTGAAACTTAGGGATTAGAGCCAGGTCATTAGGAAAGCATAATGAACATAGGCATAGAAATAATCACTGTAAAATATATCCATTGACTAAGTTACTAAAAGAGTATTAAAGCTTTGAGCCACAGTAAAGATTGGAAACAGCAAGTGTTTTGTTTTGTTTTGTTTTGCAAAAGTAATGTTATACTGCCATCAATAACATTCATATTGCTGCTTGAACACACTTTGCTCCACAGATTTTAAATGCACAGACCATAAAGTAGAAATCCTTGTGCACGGTCATAAGCAAGTTCAAAACCATGTCTCACTGTGCTGCAAATAGCAGATTGTCTTTTCCCAAGTATTTTTCAAGTCACTGCTCTCTGTTTTACAGCACTGGATTCCACTTCTCTCTTTTTTTGCATCAACATTTTTTTTCAGGTTGAAGATTAAAAGACATCCTGTTGCCTCCTCTTATAGCTTCTACTGATATCCTGGGAAAACTACAGTCCTCCTATGAATTTAATTTTATAACCTCAGTCTTAATATTCTGCAGTACAATCAGAAATATAACATAAAAATAACCCAACAGAATGGTAAAATATAACTAGGGGTTTATGACATAGAGGGAATTGCTTTTGCCCATGACTAAGAACCAAGACACATTGTACAGGTTTTGGAAGTTTTAACCTTGGTCAGTCATCTCATATTTTTTCTGTCTACTTATATCACAAAAGGTAAAGAGACATTTTCTCTTCTTGGTGTACTCCTGTAAACGTCTCAGCAAAATCTAGTTCTGCAAGGGAGGGAGGTGCTTAGCACACAGCTGAGTTGGGAACTGCTGCTGTTTCTAAAGGTGCCCTGGTAACATGAACTCACCCTGGGGTAGAACTTCCAGTTGTGCCTTGACTGCACAACAAAATATGGGATCCAAACAACTATCAATGATTCTCCTGTTATTGATAATATTTTTTTTTAACTCTCATTTTCATCTTATATTACTTCTAATCTAACAGATCTGCATGTATCTTTGGAACACTGTCTTTACATGAACAATACAGATCCATAAAATATTCAAGTTCAATATCTATGCTATGATATACTGAGATTTTCTGCTCCTCTCTGGATATCTACTTGGTCCTGCTCCTGATTTTTATTAGCTTGATATGTACATTTACATTTTATAATATGTTGCAGTTATTTGCCTGTACTGTGTAAATTACACTATATTCATCGTGCAGACTGAAGATAAACTTTCTCTATACTGAATACCATTTAGAGGTAAAATTTACTTCAAAATGGTCTGTGTGCTTCTGTCTGCTGTCCATTGGGTAAAGCTTTCTGCAGGCTGGAATGCAGATTGATGTACATCAATTACATGCAAATACCTGACTTAACAGCTACAAGCCAGAGAAGAACTGTTACAGAACAACTGTGATGAATATTTTTGTAGATTTAATAATTGATGCCAAAGGATCATAAAGCAGCCACCTGCAGCTACAAAATATACACATCTTGTGAGCATTTTGCAATTCATCAACAGGCTTGTAGTAGCACTCCTGCTACAACACACTGATGAATGTGTGCAATGTGCTACTGCAGCCTACCTGTTGTAAATATAGCCTATAGTGATTCCTTTTTGGTCTGACAAGAAACTGGTTCTGAATTTTGGTTTTCTCAGACAGCAGTAAGTTAACAAAAGTCCTGACCTGAGTCACCAGGCAGAGCAAAAAGCAAATATGCACTATCTTAAACTTGCACAAAATATCGACACAATTGATGTGTCCCCAATTTCTCTACGCACTATCTTAAACTTGCACAAAATATCAACACAATTGATCATTTTCCTAATCATTTTCAAGCATAGCAGCCAGGAACTGTAGACAACAGAATTATACCAGTGAGAAAGGGTCAGTGATCATATCTATAGATTTAGGATGGCCTACTAGAGATACCTCAAGGCTAGTTTTATGTTTCTAAAGACATCCAGTTGAGAGAGGACAAGGCCAGGATGAACGACACAAAATGACTTGTACCTACATAGTGGTGCATCCCCACCCCCCCTGCCTCCTCCACCCCACCTTAGCAAAGGCATGACTGCATGTGGCATCACCCTTGGCCTGGGGTTTCCTCTGTGCTCCATGTGGTGCCCGAAGGCAGTTCCTACATTTTGCTCTTTTTTTCAGCATAGGAAGCCCAAAATAACAAGAGGGACTGCTGGAGTACAGCCTTTACCCAAGGTGCTAAGGTGTGTATTACATTCCATGGAACAAGGGGACATACAAGAATATGCAAGGACATGAGCTTGGCAACTTAGTCAATAAGACAGTGTTAGAGACTGCTGTAGGGCAGAAGACAATCCTGACATGGCCTTCTACATGGTGCTTATAGGGAGAGGTGCCTTAAGCCAGCATTGACCAGGATCATACCTGAGGGCAACTAGTTGGTTAGCAAAAAGGAAGAAAACCCCAAATTTACACATGAGCAGCACCTGGGTATGTGATGTGAAAATTCATGACTGGTTCAAAAGAACACACCAGAGAACAAAGCATACACCACTGCTAAATCTATTAATGAAAGG